ATAGCAAAATTTCATATTTAAGTGGCGAAACGACGTCTGATCACCGAAACTTGACATGATTCATGAGCATAGCTCATGGGTTTTGTTCGTCGGCTGTTTTTCTTGGGATGGTGATTTTAACGTGCTATTTAAAGTCAAAATACCTTAATAAACTTGGAAAAATGATCATTTTGCTGAAAAAATAGAAAATGAGATAAAACCTAATTTTAATAGAACTCCCAATTCCAAAAATAACGCAACTGACGGGATCATCATATGATGTTTCAATGAGTTGATATGAATTTTCTAAAATTTTCCTAAAATAGCAAAATTTAACTTTTAAGAGACGAAACAACGCTAGGTCACCGATACCTGACATGATTCATGAGCAAAGCTCGTGAGTTTTGTTCGTCGGCCTGTTTTGCTTGGGACGGGGATTTTAGCGTGCTATTTAAACTCAAAAAACCTTAATAAACCTGGAAAAATGATCATTTTGTAGAAAAAATAGAAAACGAGTTAAAATCTAATTATAATAGATCTCCCAATTCCAGAAATAACGCAATTGACGGAATCCTCATCTGCTGTTTCAATAAATTGATATGAATTTTCTAAAATTTTCTTAAAATAGCAAAATTTTCATTTTTAAGTGTCAAAAAGACGCCAGGTCACCGAAATCTGATGTGATTTATCAGCTAGCTCATATCAAAGAGACGTTGTTGGGTTGGCGATATAAGTGTCCGCGTGAGTTTTAGCTAATTGAAATCGAAATAAATTATTGGTCATCTAAAATATCATTGCTGAGCTATCTATCTTTCCAAAAGTCAATATTTCTTTTTCCGATTATCGATCTACAATTGTTGACTGTATATTTTACACTAAATGTATACTTTCTTACGAGGATTCTTCGTGACACGCCTCTCTCGATTACTCTTATTATATGTAATCTCAGCGGAAGACTTTTTAAAAATGATTGTTGTGGATATAAATCTACGTAAAAATAATTGTTTTTAAATCAGAGGGAGAGAGTTCACACTATACTAAACCCTAATCAATCAATTAACACAAATGCATATTACATGCAAGACTAGAAAATAAAAATTCGGACATATTCAATGCAGCAACTTTAAAAATTAATTCCTCTTAAACTACTCATTCAAATGACTCCAAACTAATATCATAACATCTGCCATGGGTCTAAACCACTCAGTTAAAATAATTTTGAAATATGCTTGACTATTTAGGAAAAATAAATAAAACGGCACAGACTCTCAATTTAAAATCCAGAACATGGGAGGGAGTTTTGAAATTTCCTAATACATTCCTCATTGATCCAAAAATTACCAAATTTTATCCCAAGACAGAAAAATAAGTTTACAACATTTTCCAAGTAGAAACAAGGCATTTGAGTGAGTAAAACTCTAGTTATAACGGAAAACACTAGACTGACCCTGTTTTAGTGCAGTAGTGAGAAATAATTCATAACTAATTAAATAATTACCCAATTCATGCAAAAGACCTATCAAAATGATGAGAATAGAGAGATGCAGAGGATCACAAAGTTTCATGATTTTCTAAGCAGAGCACCTATATGAAAGCAATTTTCAAACATTGAGACAAGACACGAAGAAATTACTAGCCGAAAAGCATGCATGCATATAGTTGGTAAAATTCGCTTTTGTTTACAAAATACTATGGATTACCTATTAAATATCCAAAAGAGGGTAATCCTAATTACTATTACACATATCGTCTTTTAATAATTTCCACCGATCGGAGGAAGCGATCGATAGAAAATACCTAAAACCGTATCAAAAGTTTTTACAAGCATATTATACAAATAAAACCACATGACTAGGTTAAGAGCCAACACAATATACATGCATAAACAAGTGGTGATGCAAGTTTGAGATGGTGTTGCATAAACTAGGATGAAAAAACATAAAACTTCAAGAACAAAGTTATCTTTTCAAAACACTAACATACAATCATCATCTAAGCCATATAATCACATAATATGCAAGAATAAACAATTAAATCACATAAAAACCGAAAATACTAGTGGTGTTGCAAGTTTGAGCAAGAATTCAAGAATTCTCACATCTACTCTTTAGGGGAAGGATTTGTTAGCTCTTTTCTCTCTAATACAAGAAGAGATAAAGAGTTAGATTATATCTTAAGAAAAAGAAGAACAAGAACAAGAAGAACTTGGATGAAGAAGAGCTTAGCACTTTCGAAAAAAATGAAGAAAGAAGAAGAAGAAGGGCTTACTTAGCCTTGGCCGAAAATTCTCCTCCTATTGAAATAGAAAGAGACCTTAAACTTATAGATGGTAAGAGTGGAGTTTGAGAGTGCATTTTGGTCTTGGATATTGGATGTATTTGTAGAGTTTTTGGAGAGTTCAAAGCCAATGGAGAAGAAAGGGAAATACATCTTTTTTGTGAGGGTGATTTTGCAATATTTTGGAAGAGGTGTGGTGGTGGTTCTTGGGTGGCTTAAGCTTGAGAAAGTGGTTGCTATGGTGGTGGTTTGGGGCTGCCGAAAAATGAAGAAGAAAGGAAGAAGAAGAGTGACCCTAGGTTTACTTAAAGTGGAGAGTGGGAGTGGTAAAAGGCATGCCTAGCTAGGGAGTAGAAAGACTAGGCTTAGGTATTTATTTTAATGCTCGAAGTACAAGCATTCTAATGCATGTCTATTCCTAATTAACATGCAATTTTTAAATCATGTGTGTGTGTGTGTGTATTAGTGTCCGAAAATTGAAGAAAAATGAGGGGATGATTTTCTAATTTTCTCCACTAATTAATAATCCTAAAATGCATGAGAAAATTTTATCTTCTAAAATTTTTGTGCATGCATAAATATTATAAAATGCTCACTTAAATTCATATGAAGAATAAAATCTTAGTTCATGAAAAATATTTATTTTACAAGTTCGTGAAATATTTATTTCGACATAATATCTCAAAATATTTCCTAAGCACATAATTCACATAATCACATAATCACATGTTTCACATAATCACAAAATCACATAATCATATATTTCACATAATCACCTAATTTTCACGTAATTACTAATCATGCAAGAATTATTCTAAATCCTAATTTCATAGATTTGCACATAGAAGTGGTAAAATAAAATAATAGTATTTTACCGAAAATACGGGGTGTTACATTTTTTGTATACTTTTATCGATTTAATGGTTCTTAAGTATTGGTTTGTTGTATTTTAGGTACAATTTGAAGATTCGGGAGTTTCAAGGATGAAACGAGCATAAAGGGGTCAAAAGTGGGCAAAAAACAGAAGAAAACAATCGGAAGCTGAAAATTGACCTGGCACGGCCGTGTGAAAACTAGGCTATTTCTGGCACGGCCGTGCCAACTGCAGGATTTGGACAGAAAGCTTTGACATTTGGGACGACCGTGTGAGATTTGGACTGATTTTCACACGGTCGTCTGAAAACACGCGGAAGAGCAATTTTGGAGTTTTAATCACACAAGGAAATCCGAATCTTCTACCAAGTTGGGACATCTATTTAAGGACAAAGACAAGCACGAATTTGAGGACTTTGGACTCAATCCTAGAGCAAGAGGAGCGAGAGAAACGCAGAATCGAAGACGAAGACTTGGCGAATCTTCATCATAATTTTTCTTTCATCTATCTTCTCTGAATCTATGTATTTTAATATTTTTATGATGTTTTTCGTAGAGAACATGAGTAGCTAAGTTTTTAATCTATGATTTTATTAGAACTCTATGTGGTGATTCGAACCTATTTTTCTAATATTATGCAAGTTTAAATTCCATGATTATTTCTTCTATCTGATCTTATTTAGTGCATGAACAAGGATAGAAGAGACCTCGAGTAGTTCTCACCGGATTAGTGTGTTAATTGCATGTGTTATATCGTAAACATACAGATATCACCTAAGGTAGCTGTTTACGAGACTTGTTAGTTAATGTTTTATTCATAATTGGTTTGTATTGACATTTAGTGAACTGTTTATGAATAATAGACTTATAATACACGCGACAGTGGGTTATAAGTAATTTCGTGTCTCGGGTTAATAATCCGGAATTGTAACTTGCATGATAGAGTTTTAATTGGGTGTTGAATTATCGAATAGAAGAAGATAAAATCCTAGGTCCGTTTTTATTATTGATATTTTCTCGTGTTTAATTGGTTTCATAATTAGTCTAAGTATTTAGTTGATTTAATTCCCATTGCTATAGAGAAGCACAAAAACATGACAACTTTCAGCTGAACTCTATCAGAATTCACGGAATTTGGATTGGATCGATATTTAGAATGAACAATGACAAACTATCGTAAAACTTGTTCTAAATTTGTACACCGCACCCAACGAAAACACTCGTCAGAATTTTAAAAGTAATCTGATATATATATATATATATATATATATATATATATATATATATATATATATATATATATATATATATAGATAGATACTAGTAACGAGCACCGCGCAAGGCGCGGTGCCCAGCTCGATGCCGGTTACCGACTATTTGTGTTCGATCAAAAGATCGTATTATGAATAATGTGGACGATTCCCAATTCGCACTAAACACAATTTGCAGAAATTAAAGAAGACTAACATAAATTTTCTTCTGAAATAAATAGCTATTTCAACTGTCAAATGTTTGCATTCACAGAAAGGCATCCCCGTTGATAGCTAGGCGAAATCATCAAAATATGAAGGGCATGGGTGCTAATACACAACCATTTTATTAAAAAGAAACATCTGAATGTAATCAGCAATAAGCAACCAAAAACAAGCCCTAGAAACCAAAATTACCAGCATTTTTGTGATATTAAATAAGCTCTATTTTGTTTTAGCTTTCTTTTCAATATGAATTTACAAAATATCTGCTTTATTGTCTATTATAATTTGGTCAGTGAAGAACACTAACATAGGGTCTCTATGCATGAAACATTTTTTTTTTTTTTTGAAAAACTCTATGCATGAAACATATAACACAGAGCATGGTGAGAGGAGAAATAAAAAAATAAAAAATAAAACATAAAATCTGGAAAAACAGAATCTTTTAGTGCTGACAGGAGGAAAAATGGCTGAAATATAACAAAGACAAAAAAAATTGAGTCCACCTCATTCGATAGAATTCCGAAACATGGAATGAAGTCTGGTTGGCTAGAAGCGCGACGCCTAATTTTGGACGGAAACAGGGAACTCAGAAAACCCAAAAAAAAAAAAATTCTTTTTCTTTAGTGGAACCGATCGTGCCGTAAGAAAAAAAAAACAGGAGCAGCAAAGAAAATGGCTGATTCACATATATTTGCATAATTTTTGGAAGAGAAATGGAGAAGTGAAAAAAAAGGACGACGCACCAGAAATCATAAGGCACAAAACCTGTATATTTTTTTAAAAATCCAATCTTCGATGTGGTCGAGAAGGGGCCTAGGTGGAAAAAAAGTAGGTGAACGTGGCCTACCATGTGTATCAGTGGAAGGGGTGGCCGCGGCGAGAAACGAACAAAGCGGCGTCTAGCATGTATCTGACTTTGCTTTTCTAACCTCAACAATAAGCATAGAAGGGGCATTCTGAAAAACCTATTCAAACACATAATATACCTCAGCTAGCATGCAAAAATACAAGTGATTTTTTAAAAGAAGAGTTAGTTATACGATAACATACCTCAGTAACAACATTAAGATAACATTTTCTCTCGAGCTCGCAAGTTCTGAAGCCCCATATGCAAAGACTAAATGAAAATTTAATCAAAACAAATCAGTAAAAGGGTTGTTGAACTATTTCCAAATTCCAACAAATCTCTCCACCATGAGATCCTGGGGAAAAGCTTTGCCATCGCATCAAAAGCACGAAGAAGCCTCCAGTTTCGACCCCTGTCAACTGCCGTCTCACCATATCCGCTCCTTCATAGCTTCTACTTCCTGCCCTTAACCAGTCTACAGCAAAAATTGCAAAATATTAAAGACTGAAGAGGCACCTCTACCTACAGCATTTTTCACTGAACATGAAATTCAAAACAATTAAGCAGAACACACACTCAAGAGAGTGAATGATAGTGGAATACAATATTCATAATAGAGCAACTTTAAGTAGGCGAATATAAGGCAAATAGATATATCCAGAGATAGTAGAAAATTGGAGGCAGTGGAAATAAACATCCAAGGCCAGAAATAGAGAAAAAATCAAATAAGAAAGGTAACATATGCGCGCAAGGAAGAACAAACAAGACCGGCAGGACAATGTGAACGAGCAGGACAACAAGACTGCAGAAGGCGCAGCAAAGGCAGAGAAAATCCCAGTGAGATCGTGAATCATCGAAAAATCTGAAGAATGCAATAGGAATAACTTACAATCCCGCAAAACACTATGGCAAACAAGATCAGTAGTTGGCAAAACTGAAGACGAAGAAGATAGGCAGGAGCCACTTTGCTAATTGAACTAAAAATATATCAGGGGAAAGAAAAAAGAAACAGACTTCTTGATTCTTTTCTCCAAGAAATTTTCATCTAGACGTTAACCGTAATTGCAGCGTTTATAGGACATTTTGAAGTACTGAGATTGCAAGCCTTGATATTGTTGTACTAACAGTTTCCATAAACCGACGAGTCATCAGGACAGTCACCGGCGTTTATTTCCACCCATTGAAGCAGGAAAATGATGAGCACACATATTTCAGGCATGAAATCAGGTACGTCGATAATTTTCATAATCAAATTAAAATTCAGCATCAAAATTGATGATCAACAACTATTATGCTGTCGGTCAATACATAATCTGTAGGACACACACAAAACACAGAAAGAACGGACATATAACCTGAGCCAGATATGAACCGCAATCAATCTACCTCTGCCGGTGAGCCATGTTTCAGGAAAATGTGATTTTCTTGAATGTTTGGTAAAGAAGGAATCATCGCAAGTGCTAAGAAGGTACATCTTTCCATAGCAGTTTTCTTTATGAAAGAGGGAATTATTTGGGGCATCTTGGAGGCATGCCAGCAGTGCCTGAAATATTCAATTTCAGATAATCTTTAAATTTTGATAAAAGAGGATTGGAGTGAAAAGAGAAGAACGGATGGACGCTCTTCAGTCTTTAGTGATTCGATAAAGATTATAGGAAATCCAATTCAGACCCGGGACCTTGCACCCACAGAGAAGAACCAAAATTGGAAGCAAAATCGAGAAATATTCAACAGCGATTCAGCAATTGTACGCAACGAGTGAGCACGAAGAAGCAAGAGAAGAAAAAAATCGAGAATAAAAGGAAAGAGAAAAGAAGAAGCAAAAAGGTCGATCATACATATCGTGGAAAGAAGGGCAAAGAAATTTGTCGCCTAGCATCAGAAGCCCTTTTTGCAACAAAAGTTCAAATATATCCGTGCTAGAAAGCTTTGATTCTACCTCATAAAACTAATGTTACCTTTTGAACTTCATCCGTCCTACTGATTATCTGTTTTGCTCATGCGAAGAACTTAAATTTTTCATCAAGCAAATTCATGGCTCTGTCAGAAGCATTCCCAAACTGCACTTTACAACCACAGTAGAGAATGAGAACTAATGTAATTTGTGACACATCTAAATCAATAGGTAAGAAATTTGTAGTCCACACTCCACAGGCATACTCAGTCATGTCAAAAATAAAATTAGGTGTAAACCTCACCGGAATAAAGCAATCTGAAAATCCTCATTACAGAAATAAGATTGGAAATAATATTTTATAATTGAAAACAAGAATACCAATGAGGCTGGATCGTGCAAGACGTAGAATTCCTATTATTTCAGAACGGAATAACCACGACCCTGTATGAATGTGCCTGGATGAAGAACATGAAGTTGTTCATTTATATTTACAAACTCATTCCTAAAATATTCTTTCTTTGCGGCACAAGCAATCAGCAGCAGGCCAAAGAAACAACATTTTAGAGTCACTGGTAGAAAAGAAAGACAAGATATTATAAGTTTTTTTAATGGCACGAAACAGAGAGAATGTGTGGGCAAAAATAAACAGGCACCGTTGCTCATGAGCACCATTGCTCCCAGAAGATTGTAGTTCCAGCACACAAAGCAGTCGCAACATAACATGGTAGAAGCAAGGCGCCTATCTTGCAGTAACCTAAATTGAAAAAACAGTTTTTAAAATTTAGCAACACGGGCTTTTTTTGAGACTGAAGAATGTGCATGAATGAGTTGAATTTTTTTTAACATTTCTCACAAAAAGAACATTAGTCCGCAAAAGTGTAATAGGATCTCTAGGTATGTCACTCTTCTCAGCGTCGAGTCCCACACAGATTGAGCAACCACGATAAGAAACACCCTGAAAAGTTAATCAATCATGTAAACGGGAAAGTTTTGCGAAAAAAATAGCTTTTCATTAACTCATTAGATGTAAAGTGCAGCACATATGCTATTTTTTGGAGTCCATAAGCACGTAGATGCTCCCTGTGGCGAAGCGATATGGATAAATCGAGAGGCCTATAGTTCACCTGCACAAGAAATCGAATAAAACAATGAGAAGAGCGCCAAGTAGAATGTAGAGAATCAAGACACAAGGAAAAAGGGATTGATAATCTTACATGTGCATCTTCATTCACTGAGGCAAGTCTCTTCTTTAGAGTCCGATTTGATATCATTATCAACTTCATCATAATTTGAAGTTAAAACGAGTTTTAGAGCTTACATGGAAAAAAATTAAACATATATCCTTTTATTAGCCCTATTTTTTGTTCGGCTAGCTTCTTAGTTTACTCAGGGATATGTTAAACAAGTTTTTTTCCTGATTTGACCTGCCACATGGTACAGTCACAAAATTTTAAAGAAGTGACTACCAGGATGTAAATGAAAAATTGTGAGGAAGAGAAAGAAAAAAGAAAGTTCCTATTTCAAATTAGAGTATTGGAAAACAGATAGATATCTAGATTGCCTTAAATCTTGTAATCATGTCAATATCGGCGGTCAAGTGATACTAATAATATTAATCAAACCTAACCTAGATCCCTGTTAGAAGCTAATAAGATTAAAAAATACAACAAATCGGTAAGGAGAAATGGCTTCTTCTGTTAACGGGCAAGAATTAATCAAACCTTGGGGCTTGTCGGAGGAAAATGGGAAGCATGCATCAACCTATAGCAAGAAGACCAATAGCAACAACACAACAAATCGGTAAGGAGAAATGGCTTCTTCTGTTAACGGGCAAGAATTGTAGCTGCAAAGAGCTATATTCCCTCTCTAGTACTCTTCAGCTCTTGAAATGACAGGAGTCTGTTGGTGTATAAGTAAATTTGGTACCACCTACCAATAGTGATTTACAACGTCAACAAACATCTAATATACATGCACGGCAATACTAAATATTCAATTTAATACAAAATTCAGAAACCCGTAAATATATTTATTATTTTTTCAGAAAGATACAAAAGCAAACATGTGTTAAAACAACCCGACAAAATTTGTTTATAAAATAACCATTCTTGATTCTGAAAATGGGAGCTCTAAACCAAAGAGAACATAAATAGCCTCAGTACCGAGTACACTTGTGGTCCTTATTTTTACGATCACAGAACCGACGGGGAATGAATAGTAAATAAATTCTCCTAAAAAAACATCAATGCAACAAACTATTGCTTCAGAGGAATATTGCAGGTCAAAGTAAGAGGATAACTTCCTCCAATAGACAAGAAGAGAGGGAGGGTTCTTATAAGACAAGGGATCATCAGACCATCAAATTAACTTAAAAAGAGAGCAAATTCAGAGCATATATTGTAGAATCAAACCATATCACCAAATGAGAAAGCTAGACACTGAAGTGCTGAAGAAATAACAAAGGACAAAAAAGTTACAAGAAATAACCCGTGAAGCAGAAAATTGAGTCGTACCATTCAAATAACCAAAGAAAAGTCGCTCCTAAGGTTAACCTCCCGGTGCTATAAGATGTCAAATGGGGGTATGAAAAGAGCTATTTATGATCTCTGATGAGAGAATTAATAAGTGTAGGCAACAATTTTCTGTTAAGCGCTCCTAAAATCAACCAAAATATGAGAGGATATAGCGCCCGAAGAGGTTTCCTTCAGACCACCCACTGGCGCTTTTCATCTTGGGTGTTCCCGGAGAGAACATCTAAGACCTCGTCTGGTTGGGAAGATTAGTCATGACCAATTAAATAACATGACTTTGTTCCGGTAAACCAAATAATTTTGTGGGTCGACCCAAAAATATTATTTTTTGGTCCAATAATACAATTGAATTTTCATTACATTATTTAATATTCTTATCTTGGTTAATCTTATCTTATGAACCAAACAATGCGTAAGAAAACTAACCCGTTTTTAAACAGAAAAACAAAGTAAATAGACCAAATACCTGCACAGGGTTTGCTGCGATAAGACTACCACCTATTGCACCTCCAATCATATGGCCATCAGGACTACACACAGAGATGCTGATGCCACTGTCCGAATGTGGGGCCTGCCACTTTCCGAGAGCAAGTACAAACCGGACAAGCACAGTATCTCAAAACGACCCTATTTATTTGGAAATAGCAAGTCAGAACATAAAATAATGATAGCTCGAACAAAAGGACACACAATAAAATTATTACTTACAATCAACATGGACAATCTAGGACTGAAAAATAACCTTCAACTTTAAAGCCTCACGAAACCAAAAAATTCTATTTAAATTATTAGAAACGAAGCTGTAGCCGAACAAAAGTATAAAGCTTCACGATTATTGGAATTTTCAATTACAAATCCTTCTAAGAGAAACATAAGCATCTTTATTATAGTGGTAAGTAGATGCTTCATAGTACGTACTAAATACGCAACCAAAGTGGAACACAATTTACAAATATGATACTAATTCATTAACGAAAAAAAACTATCTGGTTTCAACGAGTATAAAGAATTATACGAGCAGAAAATGCATTAACCTCAAGCGTGATATTGGCACCAGAAGTTGTTGGCTGGCGTAGTGTCACCGAAGAAACCGATCCACTACCTCACATGATGCATAAACATCGCAGTCTCTGTCATGCAAATGCCAGTATTTTTGCCGCAATCTCCTGTACACGACTTAGCAATTAATAATTACAACATAAAAAATACTATTGCAAATTGACGGAATATCGAATAAAATCGAGATAATTAATTAGGGAATGCAGCAAACGTACCTCTCCGACTCTAACGTGTACTACATGTGGTGTAAATGCTAGTCCTGCTGACGCGTTCATCCATTCGCCTGATTAAAGATTGTTATTATTTTTTTTTTTTGTTGTTAAAGTTCACATCTCACTGACAAAGGTTTCAAACTTACGATAACTAAATCGATACGAATACTGAAACATGTGCATTTAGAGGAAAACGGAAGGCAATATCCCCTAAAGACACGTACTTTCGACGGCAAAAATCGCATTTCGAAAGAGAAAAACACATTAGGAGGAGCAAGAGGAGCGAGTTTTTGTTTCCACCATGTGCCAGGCAGCCGCCTCTTTCGTGCTCTCTCCTCCGAATATCCGCTCAGACGATGGAGCGGCGGCACAAACAGGGGTCAGCCCTAACGACATATTACCTGCTCTATCGAGTACATATTTCCTAGGCCTACCCCTCATCTTCTTAACTGTTTGTGCACCCGAGCGGGACCCATTTGGCACTACACCATGCTACTAATTCCATGAGAAAAAATTGGCGACGGGTTCTCCACACGGAGTGTCGAGCTACTTCCAGCTCCTCCATTAATCCCTACATGGGGATGAAGTGAGATGTTTGGATTTGTCAGATTCTTGAAAACAGGCGGCGCGTGCATCACACCACCACCACCACCGGAGCCCTGAATATTTGCGCTACGCCCCGAATTAACAGAACCAGCAGACCCTCCTCTAATAAACACAGTCTTCAAGCCCCTTTTACGGGGCAATTTGCAAATCTGAAACTGACCCACCAAATTAGAATCATAACTACAAAAATCCTAAACGAAAACAAAAGAAAAAAGCACAGACAAGATAGATATGTAATTAGAATCAGACGCTTAACAAGGGTTTAACATGAGTTTTCCAGTAATTAATGAAATAAAGTTGAAAGAATCAGTAAAACAAGTAAATTTAGTGTCCTAACCTGTGACAGTAACCAAAGGGTTATCCAAGAATCGGAAAAAGGTTGAATCTTGAAACCGACTGAATGTCAAGAGAAAAGATCAAAGCTTGTTCAGAAAATGCAGAAAACCCATATAGGTACTGCGCTGTGAAATTGAAAACCAAAATAGCAGCACAACAAGCCCATGAGTTTGGACGGCCGGAGAAGAGGACGAGAGCAAAGATCACCACAGAGCTTTATTAGAAGGAAAAACAATTAAAGCAAAAACACGTGAAAGAATTGAGTGCGCAGCGGACAGCGTTTACAGCAGCAGTATATGACAGCCCACAAATTGCAGATAGAGACGAGGAGGGCGGCGACGCATACTATTGGAGAAAAAAAGCGGTGCCGTGAGATAGGTGCATGGAGCGGCGGCGGGCGGCTGACTAATCAACGGCGGAGGTCAACAATGGTTGGCCATGGGTAAGGGCGGAGGTGCCAAAGCGGCGTCGTTTCTCAGCAAGCAGAATAAAAAAAAATCGAAAAAAAAGCATACACGACACGGTCGAGCTGCTTGGAAATTAAATGGAAAAGAAAATAATAACGAACGCTGATTGGAGGGGCAATACGAAACGGGGGCGTTTTGGCATTAAACGGGGTAAAAGAAAAGGCAAAAGAAAATGCAGTAAAGAAAAAGGGCCGATCCCCATATATATATATATATATATATATATATATATATATATATATATATATATATATATATATATATATATATATATATATATATATATATTTCTTAGAAGATGGGCATGAACCTCTACTTTGCAGATGTGTATGAAGTTTTCCGACAAGCAAATCCCGCACTATTTCCACAACATGACGGAGTTATCGTGGCTAGGAGAGGCTCTCACTCGTGCCCCACCAGGAGGGGGTTTTGGGGGTTGGGGGGGGCATTCTTTGGTGCCAAAGCTGCAATTATGTTTTCGTGTGGGGGGACTGTCGGGTTTTTTTCCCCCCCCCTTTCCACAACTCCAAACATTGCCCGGGGGTTTTCTTTTTGGGGCGTGGGTTAGTTATGAAGGGAATAACTTAAATTAGGAATACCAGGTTTTTTTTTTCCTAAAGGGAAACCGCCCTGTTAATTTAACACGTTTGTGTGCGTGTGTGTGTTTTTTTTAGAGAGAGAGAGAGAGAAAAAGACCGGGGGGGGGGGGGGGGGGGGATGATTACGACCAAGAGAGAAGAATAACTTGGATGAAAAACACAAGAGTAGAATTGGTTCTCATTGGAGTTAAAGCTCATGAATGCGCTCTCCAGATTTTAACGCAGTCCTCACTCACAGAAGCCAAGTGGTCTCCATTAATATCCCAGCAAATGTTATTGACCACGCCAAAATGCCCCTACAAAAATCACCGAAACTTTTAACATAAAAAGGAAGGCAACAACAAAAATAATCAAAATACAGCAAATTATAAGTTTACTCACTGCACTAAACATTTCATTAATTACTTCAACTCCTCACCGAGATGTAAATATAATGAAAAAACGTGAAAAGAGTGTGTTGGCTTGTCGGTTTCAACATCAACTATGGAAACCACCTTGTCTGATGCAGATGCCAACAGTTTTCCAGTTATAGGTTCAAACCTCACTTGACCACCGCCTTCTTGCTGTGCACGAAACACGAGAAGATTGACTTCAAAATTACACCTCTAGAAACACAAATGATGGAAAAAGAAATAACAGAGCTAGACGCGCACAACCTTGGAAATCCGGGTGCGTGAAAATAGGCTAATCAAGGGACATGACATAGGAAGCATGACCCATGTAAGATTGTACACAATAGCTTGGCTGCAAATAGAGTAATTTCAGTAAATGAATAGCTTGGCTGCAAACTTCTACACTTGGTCTTTAAAGTACTGTGTTTTTTAGGAAGGCATAAAAAAATATCGGATTGAAGGAATGATATCATTACATGAACAACGTCCCATATTCTCACGGATTTGTCGAATGAAGCTGTCGCAATCTGAGTAGAATTTGGCTGGAAGCGAACATCCGTAATTGAGTCTTGATGTTCTTCCACTGTGGTATGTGTTTGCAGAGTATCCATATTCCAAAGAACAGCCTAAGCCAAGAGGAATAAGTGAAATCAGAAGGAAACATGAAACTTATACCTTTTTGTCAAGCCCGGCACTAGCTAACAACTTCCCATTTGATGAAAAATGGCAACAAGTAACTTTGTTTTTTTCTCGTATGCGACCAACTTCTCAAAATGAAAAAAATCTGCAAATAAGACATAAATCATGTGAAATTGTTGCACTGGAAGTTGGCATTAAGCAGGAGAAACATATATATGTATAAGACCACCTTTAGAAGTCTCTGTTTTATGGTCAGCATGAGTCTGTTTTAAAGAGCCATATATTTCCATCATTAGATAAGTAGGATTTTTCTGATGGGAGAAGTTATGGAATCAACTGAAATTGTTCAGTCAACAAGTTGCACAAGAATGTACTGACCTGTTGCAACTGATCCGGTTGTTGAGAGGAACTCTGTTGCATTTGGGCCATTTTCATCGAAAAGATTAAACGTGAAGAATGGACATAAATCTCACCACCTAGGTCTAAAATACTTAAAAACAATGTTCATGAAACTAAATGAACATGAAAAGATAAAACATTCGCTAAATGCACATGAATGTAAAATTCATAGCGTTAAGTGGACAAAATGTTGCTTACAAAATCTACCTTTTGTGAATTTGATTGCACCGGAGATCCATTATTTCTGAAAGGCTGACCATCTTTTGCATTGAAGTTAAAAGATGGTATTTCAAATTCACAGCCTGCTGCTGTTGTGAAGCTAAAAGAAACTGGTTTTGGGTCAGCAAGTTGGGATTCTGTAAACCCGAAATCGTCCCTATTTGGTCGATCCCCTGCACTCGAGATTATACCTCAAGAAACAAAAAAATTGAAAGCTAAAGAAGAAAAAACTCACTGTCAGGGGCAACAAAGAATTGAAAGTGAAACCCTCCAGTGGAAGTTCACTAACTCTTTGATTCTCAACCCTGAAACAAGAACTAATATGAAAAAAAATATAAAGATCTACAATATTCGAATGAGACAAAAATCAATGTTGACTGGATTCATGCTTTCTTCGTACATTTTCATCATTCCTTCAGAGTTCATGGGATCACCTAGTGGAGGATGCTGCTGCATTTGTTGCAACTGCTGCATCAGAAGCTGCTGTTGTTGTTGTTGCTCCCTCTTTTTATACAGTTGAGTCGAAGTATAGATGGAAATGCCAAATGAAATGATGTTTTCCATATATACAATTACGGCACAAGACAATAAAAAACCTGAAATAAGAGAACAAAAATCAACTGCATATTTTTTAAATACCTGTATATAAGCTGCAGCTGGTTCAGAATGCTTCTCATTTGTCCTTGTAATGTCCCAAAAAATAAACCACCATTCAAGAAGGAATCCTCCGGGGGCATCTTAGCTAAAGACACAATTAATTGTAAGAAATTCAGATATCATCCCTGGAATACATTTTCCGAAACTAAAAACAGAAAGCACCTCGGTTTTTCCGACCATCGTCCAGAGCATAAATAACAGAATTTCATAGCCAATATTACGTTAGATCCCATCCATCGGATCAGTAGTTGAGATCAAATTTTACCTGCAGGACATAAAAGCATATGCTGAATTATGCAATTTTCTTTTCACGAAATAGTCAAGAATGTAGACATCAAGCCTGGAAAAGAATGAAAAAAAAACACAAGTATCAAAACAGTTCAACTGAATTTTTTGCAAGTCTACAGTACTTAAACAAATATCGTACAGAAACGATCTTCTGACTTAAACAAATGAGCCGTTTCCACCTCAATTATTTCGTCAATGTGAATTCACTTCACTACTTCACAATTTTTCGCCAAAATAATAAAATCAAGACCCACAGTACAATAAAGAGAAAAGATTCTGATGTTTCCATTCGTACTACTACTACCACGAGTGTAAATTGAAGGAGATCGACAAGCATAAAAATTAAATAGTCAAGAATCCTTACATCATATCCGCCATGATTGTTTCTCCAAGAATGGATTCCGCAGAATTTCTTCTCCGTCAGACACTTGTCTCACACTGTACCCAAGAAGAATTCTCGAGAAATTTTTTAATCAAAAACGAGAAATCTTACAGTTACTCACCAACAATGGCAGAGATCACACTCCACGATGACAATCCTCGCGCGAAAACCCTAAGGCAGAACAAATTTCGCACCGCAAACAATAAAATACAGTTAAATTCCCATAATTCCGGCGAAGCCAAGAAAAATATCGTTGCGGATATATATATATATATATATATATATATATATATAGAGAGAGAGAGAGAGAGAGAGAGAGAGAGAGAGAGAGAGAGATACACTCACTTTTTTTTCTCACAATTCACTTGTTAATGGCGCAAGTTCTTATGTGAAAAGCACCATAAAATGAAAAATAATCATCAAATTCGTCACAGCAGTCGTAACTCTGAATGTAATCCGACAATTCAACACATTTATAACGATGCGGCGGCGCTTCTCAATTAATTTTTTTTTTACCAATTAAACAAACATCTAAAATCTTACCCCAAGAAAAACCAAATTGAAGTAGCGAATTCTAGTAAAAACGGAAGCACAACTTTGTAGAGAGAGAAGAAAAATAGCTGATCACGCAGGTATCTGGGCCTTGGGTGTGGGAACTGTGAACGAGAATCAAATTGGAGATCTATATATAGACTCATAGGCTCGGAGTAAGGCTGGGTATTGTATCGCTTGAGGACTTGGGACTGGAGGTTCGGGGTGAGGTTTGGTACATAGGTAGGTTGGGAATGTCAAGCTGCTTTATTGTTAGTGAAGTTGGGAGCTAATTGCAAATATCACCCCTGTGTAATCTCTAATTGCCGAATACGCCTTATAAAAAAAACTCACTAACTCCTCATGTGTTAACAAAGTCAAGGCATCCGGACACTTGGAGGCAAATCGTGTCTCTCACTCGCGGATTGTGCGATGTTTTTATTCTATTATTTTCAGGGTGAAATGAGAGAAATATCCCTTCATAAAAAAGAAAAAAAACAGATTGATTGAATTATAACTAATCTAAATTTATAGGACTAAATTGTAATTTTCAAAATTACAAAATAATAATGAGCCATTAAAAAGAAAAAAACGAAAAAAAAAAAAAAAAAAAAAGCAAAAGCAAAAGTAAATCCTTCTCAAAAAAAAAAAAAGCAAAAGTAAATCACATATTCTTCCTCTCCGTCGGCCCACCTCCAAGTTCAGCACCGACGCCTCTCGCACCACTGCCTTCCCCTGCCTCCTTGAAATCCGTTTCCACTACACCGCCTTCCACCCACTCCTTCAAATTCATTCCCAATACATCGCCTTCTACCCATTCCTTCAAATTCGTTCCCACTATCACGCCGCTGCCGGTCTGGCACCACCCATTTCTTAGTGACAGAGAGAGATAGTTGTGTATAGTTGAAGAATGTAAAGGTTACTTGTGATGAGATCTGTGTGAGAGAGACCGAGACGAGATCGAGATCGATATCTCTCCGCCGCCGAAATATAGATCCGCTGCCGCCGCTTATATATATTTCTTTTTGTTGTGTGTTTATAACTACCATTTTCACCGTTGTTGTGATGGTGGATCTGAAGAAGATGGTTGTGGTGGTGGTATAGCACGACAGCGCAAGTTGAGCCGGTGGCGGTGGGCGGGTGGGTGGATGGAAAGGGAAGAAGACATCATTTTTTTTTCTTTTAAATGATTATTATTATTTATTATAAAATATAACATAAACAATTACAAAACATAAGAATCTGATATTAAAATATATATATTTAATTCTTGTTTATATTATTTTTTTATTCTTAATAATTAAATAAATACATAATATTTACAAATTTAAAGTGATTCTACAATTTGGTGTATTATACTTTACTAATTGCTAAAAAGGCCCTTAGGGCATTTTTGTCTATTCACCATTAGTCAAAGCCTAAAACAAAAGGGTGCAGTGTGCTTCAAAAATGTTAACAGAGGGGGCAGTTAGTGAGTTTTTTTTTATCACATGGGGTATGTGGCAATTAGAGATTACATAGGGGCGGTATTTACAATAAGCTCGTGAAGTTAGAACCGGAGTAACGGCTTCATAACAGATTACTCCCAAGCTGGTCGTTGTGTAGTTTAAGCCGTTTGACTTGTATGCTATTTTTCGAATTTTATTATATACGGAATTGGAACCAAAATCGAACCTAACAGAAATTGAAATCGAATGCGAACCGAAATTGCTTTTAAGGAAAAGAAAAAAAAAAAAAAATCATATAATATTAAATTGTTTGCAATTATTCTTCTTAAGTGACATACGAAATAAGTAAATAATTTAATTTTTCTCTAAAAGTGTGTGCGAAAATTAGATGTTACACCTGGTTATTTACACTGGGTGAATTTGAACCGCATATCTATACATAATCACACACATCCCATGTGTATGTGTGCTTAATGGATAGTTATCTAATCAAATCTATGGTTCAAATCCACCCGATGTAAATAATCAGGTGTAACATCTAACTCCCCAAGTGTGCGCACCAAAAAAACAAGGAAGAAGCAAGGAGAAGTTATCATACAGAGAAGAATGAAACTTGAAGTCGTCCATCAAAAGAACATTGGTTCTACGATTCTTGAATTAATCTTGTCAAATAATGTTTCAAATATTGTTTTCGATTTTTCCATATAGTGATATTTTTTTTCATGTCCACAGAAAATTGGGTGCAAATTTAGATCGGATGGCCTGTTTTGATAGGAAAATCGGATGCCATAGGATGATTGACACGTGGATAGTTTAAATAGAAATAAAATTAGGATTCTAATAATTGGAAAGAAAAAAGAAATCTCCAGCAGAACCCGTAACCCCTCTAACCCTAATTATAATCACCGTGATTTATTAAGAGTTAAGACTTAAGAATGCCACATGTCAAAAAATTAATGGAATCCGATTTATATTAAATATCGGTTGATCCGCTCAGAATTTAATCTCCAGGAAATTCTCTACAAATATGGAAGGTGATTTGTTGTTTATTTTCAGTAAAAAAAAATCATTTATAAAAAATCTGACTGATTATATTGGACATGTAAAGCACTGCCGCAAAAGTGCATGCTCAAAAACGTTCATGAAACCATGAACTACAATACTAGGACTTGAATTCGCATCAATAATCACGAACAAAAACACTCGCATAAAACAAAATGCCCAAACATAAACGTACAATACAGTTCAAAAAGTACTCATGCAAAATTGCATGCGAAAAAACGCTCATGTAAACACGAACTACAATACTAGGACATGAATATGCATCAACAAACATGCACAAAGACACTCGCACAAAGAAACATGCACAAAAAAACACGTACAAAACAGTGCACAAAAGCACTCCCGCAAAAATGCATGGGTAACAACACTCATGAAAACGCGAACGACAACACTAAGACATGAATACGCATAAAAAAACATGCACAAAAACACTCCCACAAAGTAACACGCACAAAAATACACGTACAAAACAATGAACAAAAGCACTCTCGCAAAAGTGCATGCACAAAAACTCTAATAAAAACACGAAATACAATACTAGGACTTGAATTCGCATCAATAAACATGCACTAAAACACTCCCACAATAACATGCACAAAAATACATGTACAAAACAATGCACCAAAGTACTTACGCAAAAGTGTATGTGCAAAAACGCTTATGAAAACATGAACTACAATATTATGACTTAAATACGCATAAAAAAAACATGCACAAAACACTCGCACAAAGAAACATACCAAACACTTTTTAACAACTTATAAGTTCTTAAACATATTAAAAGATGTTTTTAGGAGCTTATATGCTTAGCCAAAAAGGCTTTAACTCCTACTGATGGAACTTTTCTTAATGATGCTACCCTCTACCAGCAGTTGGTTGGCAATCTCATTTATCTCACTGTTACTCGTCTTGATATTGCTTACGTTGTTCATCATGTTAGCCAGTTTATGTCAGCACCACGATCTACTCTTTTCGCTTCCATTCTTCATATACTTCGCTACATAAAAGCCAAAAGGTACTCTATTTTAGGGTCTTCATCTCAGCTCAATCCTCCAAATATATGAAATACATATGAAAATTTTTATGCTGGAACTACGGCTGCACTTTGACGATCGATCATGAAATTACAGAATAAGACTCGAACTCTATTTGTTCTCTCTTTTCATAGTTGACAATTAGCTGCAATACGATTCACAATAATATGAAGATAGACAAGGTGACGAATTTCACGACCCCTTCTCAAAGGAGGTGCATAAAGGTTTCGATCGTGTCGCATATGGGAAACAACATCCCAACTTATCTCTTCGATCCATTGTAACTTCACCGAAACTGCACGTTCAAGTGAAGCAGAAGCTTACACCCGATGCACAACAAAATCTCAAAGTATACGTATATAGTATAAAACAAAAGTATTACTTTTTTATCTTCTTTTGTACTCTCTTCTCCCATACTCTTACAAAGCCTCAATGCCCCATTTATATAGTACATAATATGACCCCCATAAAACCTCTATTTAATATAGAATTAAAGAAATTTATGGTATCTACATAACCTCATAAAATTTGTCAAAACCAATATTATATTTTATAAAAAAATATATTATTTTTATTAAAATAACCCAACAATCCCCCCACTTATTTTAATAAAAATAAGAATATAAATATACTTGAGCTTTTGCGGATTATTATGCATAATGAAAGTGGACAATGCCTTCAAACCTTCACTTATTACAATATGTTTTCCGTACTAGAATCAAAGTGGACTTCGCCTTCAAACAGTGACCCTTGGGGCACGTAGAATCATATTGCACACATAATACTCAAAGTGTCCCGATCGAAGCTTCTAAAGCCAGCACGCTAACGGCCATGTGTTTTACCCCATTTCTCGTGAGAGCTCTAGAGAACATCCTATAATTCTCATAGGGAGCGGCCCCACTTCCACACTCACAAGGTGAATTCTATCAAGGATGTTTACGTAACTCCAACACCCCACCCATACGAGCTATATAACTCATTAAGAGTTTTATATCTCAACCTCACTGTTCGTTACGAACTTTGTTAGTGCACACGCATCATATGGTAGGATAATAAAATAGTGCACTTTTATCACTATCAAGTTGTTTTCAGATTCGTTTTTCTTCGCGTAGTTCGTAGGATCACTAGTCCCTAAGCGGTAGTATCCTCATCAACAACTTTACAAAATATATTAGGCTTTAATCCAATCCCCCTCGATGCATTTCAGACGATTTATGAAATAATGTGAAATAAAATTTCACAAATTTAGTAGCGCTTATCCAACATTTATTCTCGTAGACTCAATGGTTTTTTAACCATTCTTAAATAATTTTACATGTAATATGTTGGCACCGGATTCTCGAGATTAGTTTAAGGAATCGGGTTGCTTGGTGTAGAAGATTGTCATTGATTTTATTCCATATTTTTTGTTAGGAAATTATTTAGTCCATATCTCCTAGAGATTTTACTGTACATGACTTTATTTATTTCCTTATTATTTGTATTAGATTAGAAAGATGTTGTAAAGATTCTTCCATATCTAATTTAGGTTGTAGAGATCATGAAAGATTCTATTTCCTTAGGATTGGTTTCTTAGGACTCAAGTTAGGTTTAGGGTGGTGAATTTTGTGCCTATATAAAGCCATTAACCGAAGATGAGTCCTAAGGAGCTTTAATCGAAAAATTCCAGCATAAAGAAAGGCTTTGAAGGGTGCAACCGGTGTTGCAGCCCTGTGTGCACGTCAGGTGTGGCAACAAGACGA